TATGTCACATATATTATGGTAATAACCATTACAGCATATGGCAATTGCATATAACTAGCTCTATCACACGTTTTTGTTTTACCGTACAGATCGGTTATTATTATATTAATATGTATGCTAAAAAGCTAAAATAATGGAAAATGGCAGCCATTTTAAAATTGTAATAGCTCAAAAATGTGTACAATATTTAGTTAACTGTTGTTGTCATTGTTATGAGTGAATTTCCAATTGAATGCTGCATTTTAATAACATAAACTTACAATATTAGTGACAATTTTAGGAAAAAATGGCGGCCATTTTGAAACTGCTGGCAACCCCCCTTACGTATGAAAAAAAAAATGTTGCACATACTTTTTTGATTTAACCTCTGATATTGCTACATTTCGGACTGGACTACACGATGATCGACCGTCGCGTCGGTGGCAGCAAACATTTACTTGGTGTATCTTCTCCCCGACTTTCAGGCCAATCATGTTTCTCGTCAACACTTTTTAGAAATACAATGAGGTGCAGAAATTTTTTTTTTTTTTAATTATATTTATTACAATAAAAGTAGTTGTTTTTATCTTGGTTATATGTTGGTATTTATAGAGCAAAATGAACGATATATCACAACAGGACTCATATTTCGTATGAAATTAAATGTGATTACAAACAGGCCTAAAAGATATCATTACCATGCCTATAAATAAGTTCTTATTATAGTTTTTAATGTCTTATTTTAATGTGTTAATTATTTTATATAGACATTATTGTTGTTAATTGTTTTATGTTCATTTTATGCGGGGAAATTGTTTGTCTAAGGGGCCACAATGCAAATAAGTTTTTATACCTTTTTGGGTTACCAGTTGTTCATAATCATTTACTTGTTGTTTGTTTTTGTTTTTATTAAGAAATTTGTGATTTTAATTCTTGAATAAAATGAAATGAAATGAAAAATTTGAAAAATAATTGTTTGCAATTATATGTTTTCCTAATGATTTCTGTTCTATGTATAAGTCGATCTATTGTTTGCAATAATAATAACGATATTAAACTGTTAGCTACCAGAATGTTCACGAAGAAGGCGCGACGCCCGACCACGCCAATTGTGCTCTTGCTGGGGACATGCTCTCCACGCCCGGGACAATGGACTGCCCGTCTCCCTAAAAAGGCTATATGAAAAATGAAACAAATTGTTTAAATATAGGCCTTTATTATATAAACTCATACCTAAACTCCTATCGCTAGATGCATGGAGATATAAAATACCTCCATGCTAGATGTATTTTTCAGTTTTTAGGGCACATTTACTCCCTCTATTTTATAAACTTAAAATTCTTGATGTAAAGCCAGGTACCACGTTATAGAAAAATTAAGAATATGTTATAAAGGGGATTAGAATCAACTTTCTCGATATTCGCAAAATAGTTGAAGAAAACATTTTAATACAATGCTTAAAAACATTTACTTGAAGAGTATATTGCTGGATGATTTTTAATATTATTCAATTCGCTTAAATTTAAGGTTTTTTTTAAATTTGTTTTTGAATACAGTAGGTCTAATTTTATTATTATTATTATTATTATTATTATTACTATTATTATTATTATTATTATTTATTATTATTATTATTATTATTTATTATTATTATTATTATTATTATTACTATTATTATTATTATTTATTATTATTATTATTATTATTATTATTATTATTATTATTACTATTATTATTATTTATTATTATTATTATTATTATTATTCATGACCAAGCTGCAATTCCTTCTATCATTCAGTTGATAATATTTTATATATAAAACACATAATATGTTTTATATATTTTTTGTACTACTATTGTAAAAGGGGTTAAATGTGATAAGAGAAATCTTATTTTTAACCTCCTATTTGCCATGTGTATTTGCTTGATTTATCTTGTATTCGTTTTTGAAATGTGGCAATTCATGTGAATTAATACAAATTCTTAATATCACATGGAGGAGGGGTGTAACTATTAACTAACCCCCTTTTACTGTTTTCCCCATTTTTGAAATATTCCAATTTCTTCAAATATGCTTTTTGTGACTTAGTAAATTCAGTTGCACAATATATCAAAACAAATTTTTACTCCGGAGCCTGGCTTTATAATATCGTTTTCGTGTGGGTGTGTGTGGATGTGGGTGTGTGTGTGTGTGTGTGTGGTTGTGGGTGGGTGGGTATGTGTGCAGACATAGTGTAGGCATGGAGGAGAACCGGATGGATGCTTGAGAGTTAAGCTTTAAATCAGGCCATACTGTAATTTTTTTTAAATAAAATGTTGCGTCAAAAGGACAATTTTGGCATACCAATGACATTGGTGAAATATTGGTCCTTCCAAAATCGGACAAGCCAAACCACTTCTTACGGCCTCGTAATGGTATTTTTAAATCAAATGTAATCAGAATTTAGCGTGCACAAAACAAAATATCTGGGTAAAGGTCAAAGATATCACCTTATTTTTTAAAAATCTTTACTTAGTAGGCTTTTTAAATGTTGAATATCGTTTAAAGCAATACAACTAAATCGTTATATTTAATATATATCATGGTATTGCACCAGAATGTTTAATGAGTTTAGAAAGTTTTCCGATAGACACTCACATTTTCCAAGGGGCATCAAGAAAAAAAACCCCCACTTATATCACCGCTTTTTGTTTTAACAGTATACATTTATGGAATAGTTTACCCACACATATCAGGGCTATTGGTGTCAGAAGTGCTTTAAAACAAAGTTAAAATGTATACGGCCTCGTAATGGTATTTTTAAATCAAATGTAATCAAAATTTAGCGTGCACAAAACAAAATATCTGGGTAAAGGTCAAAGATATCACCTTATTTTTTAAAAATCTTTACTTAGTAGGCTTTTTAAATGTTGAATATCGTTTAAAGCAATACAACTAAATCGTTATATTTAATATATATCATGGTATTGCACCAGAATGTTTAATGAGTTTAGAAAGTTTTCCGATAGACACTCACATTTTCCAAGGGGCATCAAGAAAAAAAACCCCCACTTATATTACCGCTTTTTGTTTTAACAGTATACATTTATGGAATAGTTTACCCACACATATCAGGGCTATTGGTGTCAGAAGTGCTTTAAAACAAAGTTAAAATGTATTCGTCCCAAAAACAGAAACTTTATATTTGATTAAGATGCTTGTTATGTTGTTTCATAAAATATATACAGTAATTTTTTTGTCACTTTATTTACATATTTATTTATTTATTTTTAATTAATATTTTTTTCTGGACCCTTTGGAAACAAACTTTCTGGTTTAAAGGTCATCCAATGCACTCTGACCTTATCAGTTATATTATCTTTATTATTATTTCTTTTTTTGTGTGAGGTTCCTTGTATGATTGGAGATATATTTCTTCTGTTGTTTAAAACTGTGCCTTTTATTTTTATTTTTTTGTTGTGTGAACTAGAATTTCTTTTTACTTTTTGATGTTTTTCTTTGTCTTTGTGAATGTTTTAATATTTATGTAATTTTTTTTCTTGAATTTTCCGTTTTTTTTGTTGTTTTTTTTATGTAGATTCTATTGTTAATTGAGTTTCTGTTCTGAGTATGAAGTAAAAACAAACGCCGGCCCACCATCATCATTATCATTGTAATCATCATGATGGTCAACATCATCACCATCATTATCATCGTAATCATCATGATTGTCAACATCATCACCATCATTATCATCGTAATCATCATGATTGTCAACATCATCACCATCATTATCATCGTAATCATCATGATTGTCAACATCAACCATCATTATCATCTTAATCATCATGATTGTCAACATCAACACCATCATTATCATCTTAATCATCATGATTGTCAACATCATCACCATCATTATCATCGTAATCATCATGATTGTCAACATCATCCCCATCATTATCATTTTAATCATCATGATTGTCAACATCAACACCATCATTATCATCGTAATCATCATGATTGTCAACATCATCACCATCATCCATTTATTCCAAATGAGGCTATAGAGGGGGATTTTTTAGAGGCCTTTTTAGAAGGGAAGTTTATTAAAATCACGGTGTTTATTCAAGTGAATTCATTAACGGTATATGTTTTTTAACAAGTTGTTGGCATGCGTTTAAAAAACGATACTTGCAGAACGATTTTTAATATCAACATCTCTATGTACATTTCTGTTGTTAAAGTCGTCTATAGGGGTGATTTGAATGAACGCCAAACAAAAAATCCCTCCAAATCCCTGGAAAGTATGGCTATGGATTTGAAAACCTTATTTAATCAGATTAAGAGTTCAACAATACAAATTCCTGCAACTAAGTGCCTCAAAAATGCACATACAGCACAATAATAATCATTAATTCATCAATCGATTGACCAATTTACATTTTATTTAAAAACCTGCATTTTGCAGAAATAAAACCTAATTATGTAATTTACAAATTGGATAGAAAGAAAAACCTCAATAGATAAAAATGTTAAAAAATTCAAATCGACCATTTCAAAAAATAATACAAGTCAGGCCACACCGGTCCCCAGGGGTAAATTTTCCAATTAGAATGAGGACAAATATTATTAATAATATAATCAGATCTTGAAAATACTATACATACAATAACCAACAAGGCAAGCATTTGTGATATCAATAATGTTTATGTACCTTTATAGTTTGAAAAAGGGACGAGGATATGATCATTCTGTGCCGTAGCCTTCTATTTTTTATTTTTGTGGATGCTTAGATTTAATATAAAAAAAAAAAATGCATCCTATACTGGAATGATTTGGGCCATTTTATTTTAATTATGCAGGAATCCAGATATGTAGCACTGTCCACCATCTTTATCCCACTCCTGCACACTGTAAAGTAAGCTGTGCGAGGAATATATTCTCCGGGCAAACATTTTGCCAAATATTAGGCCTTGGCCTAATCTTAATATATAAAAATGTATTATGCAGTAATTACGATTCTGCGCATCTATTTTCCTTGCGATTTTCCATGCGGAAAATTTGAGCTGGTGTTTGAAGTATCATCCCATAATTACAAAACTTTGGCCCAGGGCATAATAAGCAACGCCCTCAAACATGTAATCAAAACATTTCAATTAAATGAAGATATTTTTCTTAATTCTTAAGATATAACATTCTAAAATATTTTAAAAAATCTTATTTAAAAAAAACTTGTTTGGCCTTTCAGTATCAAAATTAGCTTATTTAGCTGGTTTAAAAAATATACTATCTTTATATAAATATGAAATGAGAAAGTGTTTATTATTAAGTACAATTGCATTATATACATAATGTAAAGTGCTTAGAAGCCTTGTGGTGTTAAATGCTATGTAAGTCTAACATATAATTATTATTATTATTATTATTATAAATGCATTGTTGTGATATAAAAACAAAATGTATCATATAATTAATGTAAAGCAACTTGGCTGTCCTAAAAATATGATTCTATGTTTAAAGAATATAAAAGCACAGTGTATATTTGTATAATACTGTTATATTTACCAAATGTACAATATTAAATTATGTATTTCCTATATATACTGTATTATATTATCATTTACTTCCTATATAACATATCAAAAATCATCATGTGTCATTATTTGCCATATGATACACTGTGGCATTAAACTCTATTGAGTGTCGTAATCGCAGTGGTGGGGGCAGGAAATGTACAATATTAAATTATGTATTTCCTATATATACTGTATATTATCATTTACTCCCTATATATCATATTAAATTAAGTGGGTGGGGGAATTATCCCTGGCCTAATCAATGTGTAATTGTCTTTTGAAATTGTCAGTACCAATGTGTAGCTATGTTCCGTCATTATTCTTCATGAGTTTCCTGGTAGTACTTCCGTAGTTCTTTAACGACTGCCTTCTTTCTAGGTTTTTCCAATACATCACTCATCTTTACAAGGTAGTTTACTTCAGTGTTTGCCTTTCTCACCACATAACCAGCATTTCCAGTCTTGCGTCCACAGTTGGTGGTGAAAAGTCCAGCTCATCTTTATATTTCAGGTTTCTTTAGACCAATGATGCTGCCATAGGATTTCCAATCCTTTCCAAGCTCCTCTGCAATGAATTGCATATCAATGTCTCATAAGAATCCCAAACAAAAAGAAAAGACATCAAACACTTTCAGAACATTGTGGACTTTACAGTTCGGCCAATACAAAGGTTAGTAAAATGTGTCCTGTCTATACACCATTTTATTCGGAATATTTTGAAACAGCGAATATGTAAACGGCAAACAGATGACGTAAACATTTGAAAGCGATACTGAGGATGTATCGTAATACAGTATCGATCTGTTGTGAACATGAAACATTCTAAAAATTCATTCAAAAAATATATTTAAATAATAATGGACAAGTTGAGTGACAGAGTGGTAAATCAGGGGTGTCGCTAACTACAGCCTTAATATTGGTGCTGGATGGGTCACCTTGCCCAGGGTTCAGTTGGTAGAACCAAGTTTTCTCAAATAAGGAATGAAAACCAGAGGTCCACTGTATATCTGGCTTGTGTTCACTTTAAAGAAACACTGCATTTTTTATAAGAGTATGGGGTTACCCCGATGCTATGCTTTATTTCATCCCTTGCCTTTGTGAAATGATGAAAACATGAACCTACTACCCATCTACGATGGCTAAACAGTCACAAATAACGCCCATATGCACTTCAGCACAATGACATTGCAAGTTATGAGTTATTCTGCTACTTTACATTTAACATATCATATCATATTACCAACCTTTGCATTACTGGTGCACTTGATGTAATCGTCCACTGGCAAGTACTCTAACTGCTTTTAAACTGGATGGTTGATCTTCTGATACCTCTGAGCTGAAGTCCTTGTTAGCAAGTTTTCTGAGTCCTTGCTTCTTCAAAGCCCTGCACATTTATTTCAACTTTATTTTTCTCAGTGAGCTTAGCCTTTTGTTTGTTGTGTCAAGACAACATGACATCAAATGGGCCATGCAGACTATTGTTAATGTACGCAATAGTAATGATATATCTGGTATTTGGTAAATTTTTCTCAAATATTTTCACAATATTATTTCGTTAATGCCACAATCTCTGTTTAGTCCATACCTGATAGGTACAGTACATGTATCACTAATTCATTGATTCAAGTTCTTTCAAGTTCTTTATGCATGTTGGTAGTATGCGTCTAATTTCTTTGCGATCTCTTTATTTTTTTTCATCAATGCTGCCTTCAATATTTTGAGTTGATTTACATTTCTTCCTTGTCTGTTCCTCCATCGGACAAGCATTTCTAAAGCAGCGTCCATAATCTGTCTCTGAAACTTTGTATCTACATCTTCAATTTCCATTTTATTTATTCCAAGATTCTTGGCAATAGCTTTCCAACCACTACCCATCATCTCAGATATAAATAATAGATCAGCATCTTGCATGTACCCTGATTAAAACAAAAATTAAACCAAAATTACGCCATATCTATACTGAAACATAATGGCATTTAATTTGCACAGCAGTTGGACCGCTTCTTTCCTTGCATGGTATTATGCAATATAAAATATGTATGTACATTTCTTCCTGACTACTGTATATAAATTTCAAAAATCACATTACTACACTGTTTACATTTACCAATAATAATTTTATTTCTATTTTCTCCTCCGTTTAAATGTTTTTTGCAAAACTACTTGCAATTAAAATAAAGAAAACTAAATTTTATTTTTATTTTTTACCCGCCCTCCTGTGACGAAAAAAAAAGGTTTGCGAAACAATGTATAAAAAAAAGTCTTATCAAATATTGTCCATGTGGAAAAGTTGATGTAAAATGATCCAGTAGCTTGTGAGTTATGCACCTGGAAGAGGACACACACACCACATCAAAGACACACACACACACACATAACGCATAATACTGCCATACCCTTCACCTCTCCTTTGGGTAAAAATAAATAATAAAATATCCTGGATACATGTTAAAAGTACAGTAAATAAAAAAAATAATGGCTTTTTTGAAAGATAGCATATAATCCCCATAAAAGATGAAACCTAAGCACAGTACTTTTAAATGCATTGAACCTCTCAAGTCTGTAAATGCTGAAAAAAACAAGCTTGCTCAATTCAAATGTTTGACTCTCTCTTAAAACCACATGTGATTGCTGTTACCGAGACTTGGCTTAATTCGGATGTAGCAGATATTGAAATGTTACATGACAGTTACACCATACACTGTAGGGACAGAATTAATTGTCAGGATGGTGGGGTACCTTTAGCTGTTGATCACACGATTTCATCAATAGACGACAAGATCTTGAACCGAACATTAGTGAAATTTTGCTCCGGGAAATTCATCCACCATTCTTCAGGAAATTTGCAGTTGTGTTATGTAAATAATAATAAAATAATGTTTAATATTTTGTATCAAATTGATATTCACCTACCTCCTACTAGTCTATGTTGTGTTGAAAGTTGAGGTTGATTTGCAGCAGCGTCGAGGTCGTCTTTGTAGCCACGCCTTTTACACAATCGTTCCGCAAGTTGAACAAGTCCCTGTTCTCTCAACGCGTTGAGCATGATTGGCATTTGGTTCATTGATTGGCCATCTCTCCAAGTCACCAGGGTTTCCATGACACCATCTTTCAGTGTGTTCTTATCTGCTATGACATTAATCTTGTTCCATTCAAGTCCAAGTCGCACTCCTAGCCTCCTCCAATCAGAGCCCAGATCTTCACAGATGAACAGCAGGTCTTGGTCATCAAGGGATGCTGGTTAATTAATGACGATATGAAAGAAATTAAAAGATTTAATTATGATTTCTGATAAAATAAGGAAACATTTAGAAAATCCAATCCATTATTTAAAAGCACCAACAAATAAGTTTTCACAGATCTGTTACTACAATAAAATAAGCTAATTTATAGTTACAACAGTACATGCTCCTATCAAAGTCAATCGATATAATCGGCAAACACACAACATAATATTATGTTGATTGACCTCGGCTGACCTTGGATATGAGCAAGTGCAGTTCCAACCATAAATTAACCTATTGTTAGCAGGCAATTTGAAGGTCTATGCTAAGGAAATAGGAATTTTTCATGCTGCATTTTGGCCGTTAACAGAACTGGTCCATGGCACCGGCTTTTGGAAAAAACCCGGGTTATAAATCCTGCTGGTTTGTTGAATAGCGATGGGTTCTTAAATTATTTATTGCCACTGAAACCCATGAGATGAAGTGATTGTAATGGGTTTCTTGTTTACATTCCAATGGCTATATGTTGCTGGCCAGGACTCTCTTGTTAACTCCCAATGGACATTCTTAAAACCAATTAAAGTTAAGTTTATGGAGCTGCTAACAGCTCTCTCTGGACCATTTGACAGCTCACTCTCAACTATCAGACAGCTCACTATGGACCATTTCTGCTAACGGGGACTTTTGCCTCATGTTTTCACCAACCTCCTACTAGTCTATGTTGTGTTAAAACTTGAGGTTGATTTGCAGCAGCGTCATGGTCGTCTTTGTAGCCACGCCTTTTACACAATCGTTCCGCAAGTTGAACAAGTCCCTGTTCTCTCAATGCGTTGAGCATGATTGGTATTTGGTTTGTTGATTGACCATCTCTCCAAGTCACCAGGGTTTCCATGACGCCATCTTTCCGTGTGTTGTTGTCTGCTATGACATTAATTTTGTTCCATTCAAGTCCAAGTCGCACTCCTAATCTCCTCCAATCAGAGGGCAGACCTTCACAGATGAACAGCAGGTCTTTGTCGTCAAGGGATGCTGGTTGATCAATAAGGATATGAAAGAAATTGGAAGATTTATTAATGGTAAATCCAAGTCACTATTTAAAAGTATCAACAAATAGGTTTTCAGACCTAATGAAGATTTACTACAATAATCTGTAAATCCATTAGCAGGCATTTAAAGTTATATGCTAAAGAATTATTTTGTTATTAATACTTTGCCACGGAAACCTTCCACAAATGTAAAGAATGTAGGAATGTTTTTTTGGATTTTTTAACTTTTTTTGGATTTGATTTAGTCGGTGTAAACACCAAGGATAGCCCATGAAAGTCTGGCAGAAGACTTATTTCCAGTGGGGTCCTACTGGAAGTGATTGGGCAGTATATCGCGAGATAATCCCATCCTCTTTTCCGAATAGTGTACTGCGTTCTTTAACGTGCACATGGGCCATAATGAACACGGAACCAACAACTTAAACGTCTCATCCGAAAGACGGTGCGCTTTTGTACCTTGTATTTCAGCCCTCTAGCTGAAACACAAGGAGAGGCAGCGATGGGAATTGAACCGGGGACCTAGAGATCTCCACGGTTCAGCGCACACAAAGCGGCTACCATCAGATTAGGACTCAGCTAAGCTGCTCTCTCTGTTATATGCAGCACACTCATTACCTGGCCAGAAAATGTTTTCCTCATTTTAATTAAAGCTAAAAATACGGTTTTTTTGTCATTGTCCATATTGTGATATGGTGTGACTGACTGTATTTTAGATAATGTTAATTATAAATGAATATTTTATCATGAATAGTGCATTACTAACCATCGTGTTCATGGTGTGTTGTGGGTAATCTGCCACTGGTATCTTCACCTGCATTTACATTGGACTCTTTAACCTCTGACATTTGAGAGCCAAAGATTTTGTTAGCAAGCTCTGTGAGTCC